GATACACTTATTTTCAATAATCGCTCTATAACGAACGTCAACAATACTTCTGACTGCAGTTCAATTACTCACTATCTACACACACATTACATTACCGCGTCACGTTGTCCCCCTCTTATATATACCAGACTACCCTATATCTAGTAAATACTAGAGCATTCGCCAAAGTACAGGATAGTTCTAGAAACTAGAGGGCGCCACACCAATCACGTGACCTCGATGATGCAACAATATATATAAAACTGTCAATGGAAAGTATTTGTTAGGTTGAATATGATGTAGATGTTTTAATCAGTTACTATGAAAATTAATTGTTTTTATAATATGTAAATGAACAAATTTAAGTCTTTGGTGTTAATCAGTTTAAACAATTATTGTAATTAAGTTCATGACCTCCCAAAAAGGTCATGCTTTATAGTGCTGGATGTGGCCTAATGTTTAGCCTGTCAAAGTGTTTGGGGATGAGTATTTCATGCCAGAGAACGTGCCTCACTTTTTCAGCTGTGGGCACATCATGAAGTGACAGTAAATCCCATTCAGTCATTCAGTTCAAAGAGCTAAACAAGGCTATCAGGAAAGCTGGTGCTGGCTGTCGTCTTCTGGTTAGTTGCTCAACATTAAGGATGTCAAACAAGGCTATCAGGAAAGCTGGTGCTGGCTGTCTTCTTCTAATTAGTTGCTCAAAATTAGGGATGTCAAACAAGACTATCAGAAAAGCTGGTGCTGGCTGTTGTCTTCTAGTTGTTCAAAATTAGGGATGTCAAACACGGTTATCAGGAAAGCTGGTGCTGGCTGTCGTCTTCTAGTTAGTTGCTCAAAATTAAGGATGTCAAACAAGGCTATCAGGAAAGCTGGTGCTGGCTGTCGTCTTCTAGTTAGTTGCTCAAAGTTAGGGATGTCAAACAAGACTATCAGGAAAGCTGGTGCTGGCTGTTGTCTTCTAGTTGTTCAAAATTAGGGATGTCAAACAAGGCTATCAGGAAAGCTGGTGCTGGCTGTCGTATTCTAGTTAGTTGCTCAAAATTAGGGATGTCAAACACGGTTATCAGGAACATCAGGTTATATGGACAATCAAATTGAAAATTCCAATTTTACTATTAATATTTCAATCAAAAAGATACGAGTACAGTAACAGAACTGTGTGGTACGTTTACTATTTATTTATCTCACAGAATAAATATCATAAAAACACAACTGATTTCAAAATAATATAAAATAGAAATATTTAAATTTTGGTAGTATATATATTTAAAGTAAATAAATGAGAATAAATATCACTGAGTAAAGTATATTTGTTGAAAAAGTTTAAAAGCAGTTTACAACCGATTTTCAGGCAACTTTGTTTTTCCACAAAATCTGTATGAAGGATTTTTATCTAAGTATTTCTTTTTGACTTTTTTTTTCATTTAGTACTTTGTTACTTTTTTACCATATAAAAAAACAACCCATAAATGTAGATAAATTTTGATTTGAACACATGTTATTAAAAGTTTAATGAAATTAACAGAGGTAGATTTTATATGTTAAGAGTTTCCTGTACAATTAACTATTCTCATGATAATACCTAACTTTAGTTTATATTATTGATCTTTCTATTTAACTGTTTAAAGAAATACATAAATTGTATCTTAAGTCACTCCTGTTTTGTTTTTTATAGAGAGACCAAGCCTTGTGGAGCCCACCAAGGTTGAGAAAATTCAAGAATTTTACCTGGATACACTGCGAGCTTACATTGAAAACCACCGACCACCAGGAAGGAGTTATTTTGCTAAGCTTCTGGCTGTGCTAACAGAACTCCGAACTCTCGGTAACATGAACTCTGAAATGTGTTTCTCACTCAAGGTCCAGAACAAAAAGCTACCACCCTTCTTGGCTGAAATTTGGGATGTTCTGGAGTGATCCCTGGTCTTCTTTTTCATACAGGAAAATACAACCATTTTGGAAAAACCAAAAAAAGTGACCAGTTGCGATCCTTGTTCTGGACAGAGTGATGAATGCAGCAAGTAATAGTTTTCAAGCGTTAGTGTGGTGCTGTGAATGATCACTGATAAAAAAAATCTCATGATAATATTGATTAGTTACTGTTTTCTTGGTCACTGGATCCTTAGTGGTTATGGTGTTGTCTTACTATTCAAGTATTGTTTTGTTGAAATAAGTTGTCATTTGGGTCTTCTTAACCCCCCCTCTTTAGCCCACGAAGAACTTGTTATCCCCTATTATTGATCTAACCATTTTATACTTCACTCATTAAGATGGAGCCATCCAGGTAAAAGAAAAAAAATTTTCTTTGCCTCAAAACGTTTTATGCTGTGAAATATTTTACATTATGAACCAGTGGGGTATTCATTCCAGAACATAATGTATATGACGTATTAATTGGCTTTTTATTTATATAAAGATAATTTTATTGTAGTTTGATTCACAAGATATCTTTTGACGAGTGAGTAGCATGTTAATGTAAAGGACTCTTACAGAAACCTTATGTTAAGAAAACTAATTCATTCCATCCATGGGCTTAAGTAGGTGTAGATTGTTTGGAACTTAGTAGGTGGAAAGAAACATTTCAAAGAGTTATCATTTTAATGCGTTAATAAAAGCAGTTTTTATCATCTTCCAAGATGAAAAGTTTAGGTGTTAGATCTATACTGTTATCAGAAAAAAAACGTGAATCTTATTTTTATTGGGTTGTAAGAAGTCACTTACTCCAAAGGTTGTGAATTGACTTATGATGTTTGATTTAAACTCTGGATTTTGGTGAAAACGCACAAGTGAACTGAACAGGTGCAATGGTACAGTGTTCTGTACGTGAAAACGGATGAGAGATTGGTTAAACTTTGGCAGGAAAGAAAGTTAACTTGAAACTCGTCTAGTTTTAAGTCAGTTTTGACACCGGTGATTTTCTGTGAAGAATGATGATAAAAGAGTACTTCTTCATCAGTGTTTCATTTCATTTGAAAACAAAGTGGACCATATCTTGGAATTTATCAGTTGTATAATTAATTTTTTTACCATCTTCCAGTAGATCATAAAGGAACAACAAATAAGTGGTATCTAGCTGATAGAGCAGTTAATTAAATACATCACGTCTCTAAACAGAAGAAAATATTTTTAAACACGTAAATGTATTTTCAGGGTTACGTTTTTATTTGTTCTTTTTTGTATCACCTACAAATCTATAGAGTGCCTATAGTCAAGCTGTTTTAATATTACGTTACACCCAAAATGAGTGAGTAACAGCCGAGAACAATGGTATGGTCTCTGCACAGAACATTTTGTAATCATTAGTGAAAAGTCGTCACCAGGAAATACTGTCAACTTGAGGATTGTGCAGATGTGCATGCTTTGTTGATGCTATCATAAAATTTCTTGAGCGGTGGTGTTTGATGAAGGTAAAATTGTGTGTTCCTCAAAATGAAGACAGGATAATTTAGTGAAAACAGAGAAGATATAATGATAACTAAAATACAAAAATTTCAGTTGTAAAGTTAGGAGAGAAATTAATTTATGTTATAGGGTTATTTCCTATTAAAGATAATTTTACAGCCACCTGGCAGAAACAACGATAAACTTTTTTGCACTAACAACAAGCTAACAAATCCTTGGCCATATAACTGGAGTTATAGTGTGAAATAGATGAACTGGAACCTAGCACTCATGCACTAAGTAGCAAATATATGACATAGAAATTGAACATTTCTGAGGAACAATAGATGGGCTGGAAGAACTGTAAGTAATATCGTCTGATGTTAACCATATAAACTAGTACAACAAGAACTTTCATTTCTATACATAAACTAAAACCAAAACTTTGATAAGCTACTTCAAAGAAGATACAAAGTTGCCTTTAATACTCTTATATCAATTCTAACTTTGAAATAGGTTTTTGGTGCTGAAATAGTAAAATTTACTAGATATTTTTACTAGTTTTACCTGAAACAGATCTTAGATTATTCATGAATAGAGGATGTAAAATATGATTTTATATCTATATCTATCTATATATTTATATATGTATGTGTGTTTTGCAATTAATAGATATATATCATACAATGTGTATGTTTCAGATCTTTGTTTTATTCCTTGTGAGCAAACGAGCCCTAGATTGTAGTTGTTATTAACATTTCTCATTAACAAGCAATTTTAACTGGTTTTCTTTACAAAAGTTAATTTACTTGTCTATTGTGATTTTTCAGAAATTTATACTAGGTATAGTGTATCTGTTTGGTAGCTTTTAGTTTTATTTATTAATAGTTATTAAAACAAAATCTATTGTTTGTTAAAAAGAAACTCAAAAAAAAATGGTTTAAAATGTCTTGTTTGGATGATATAAGCATATCACTTACGAAGAAATTATAAAACATCATAAATTCTTAATAATTAAAAAGTCACAATTTTGTTTGTTTATAATATATAAACAGAAACATTGGCTTACAAATTTTAATCACTTGATACAAGCTCCCCAGTGGTACAGCGGTATGTCTGCGGACTTACAACGCTAGAACCCGGGTTTCTCGCACTGATAGCCTATTGTGTAGCTTTGTGCTTAATTACAAACAAACAAACTTGATACAAATCCCTAGCTTAGTCTTTCATGAATTTCCTCTGATAGTTTGAGATTTAACTTCTTAAACCTGAACGGATGGTGCCAGCGTCTGGCCAAAAATCCCAATTTACTCATCGGACGGTTACAGTGTCCAATAACATTTATGTCTCTTTGGCTGCAAACTAATCCAAACCATCTTATTGTCTACCTTTTATAAACAGACTGAAAATTTTATAAGTTAGGGTGATAATTATTAGGATAATTCTGGCAGAATGTGCAAACAATCCTGGGTTTAAAGAGTTAAGACCACTGATGAATTACACAGAGTGTGCAATAAAAATATATCAACTGTGTAGTTGAATATTTAAAGTTTTAATGTCAGAATTTTGAATTTGAAGTCTGAGAAAACTTCAAATTCTTTTGAAGCACTGTATGAACTAAATAGTTTAATCAAATTATATTTTTACATGATATTGATGCATTTTAAGTCAAATTATCCTGTTAAACAATTTCATTGTTTTAAAAAAAAAAACTATCATTATAGAGAATAGAAGGAAGTCTTTTAATTACAAACAGCTTCAAGATGATAAAATTAGATTTATTTCAAAGAGTACATACAATGTATTCTTATAAATAAATCAAATTTTTACCCACTTAAAGCTGTAGAGCTTTTAATTAAATTTATTTATGGAAGTGAAATTATTTTCTAAAAGTATAAAACCAAATTGTGTGCATTTGTTTATTGTATGATCCTTTATAATTTTGTTGATTTCCTAAATAAGCACATCAAAATGTTCATCAAGGAATTTATCATAAAAACTGAGAAAATGTTAATATTTTAACAGTTTATCTGTTAAGTTTGTTTTAGTGAGGAGTTGATAACCTGTTGTTATCTTTTTTAAAACCTGTAGCTCAAACACTTATAAACAGAGCACGGTGTTCAATTTTCCACAGTTTTCTTCCCTACAAAACCACAATGAACTACATTAACAGTGATGTTTACTCTACCAAGCCACTTATTTGCATCGCTAGAGATTATGATAATTGAATTCACTCTTTCTGTTTTTCATATCTAGGAAGCGTAACAAACCAAGCCAACTGTATTTTGAAAGCAATAGATCATGACGCACCAAATTAATCTATAAAGGGCACAGCTTAAATCAGTATAAGTACATAGCTATGAAAAATTAATTACAAATTATGATTAAAAAAATTAATGAAATGTAAAATATTTGCAGCTTCTTTCTGTCTTTGTCATGATAGTCCTGTCATTCTAATACCTACTATTCTGTGCATCAAGAGAGGTTTAGGGTCTTTGTCATGATAGTCCTGTCATTCTAATACCTACCATTCGTGCATCAAGAGAGGTTTAGGGTCTTTGTCATTATATCCTGTCATTCTAGTAACGAATGGTAGGTATTAGAATGACAGGACTATCATTGTGCATCAAGTGAGGTTTAGGGTCTTTGTCATGATAGTCCTGTCATTCTAATAACTACTATTCTGTGCATCAAGAGAGGTTTAGGGTCTTTGGCATGATAGTCCTGTCATTCTAATAATTACCATTCTGTGCATCAAGAGAGGTTTAGGGTCTTTGTCATGATAGTCCTGTCATTCTAATACCTACCATTCTGTGCATCAAGAGAGGTTTAGGGTCTTTGGCATGATAGTCCTGTCATTCTAATACCTACCATTCTGTGCATCAAGAGAGGTTTAGGGTCTATGTCATGATAGTCCTGTCATTCTAATACCTACCTTTCTGTGCATCAAGAGAGGTTTAGGGAAAAATTGGCAAGATCAAGATATTTCCATTGATTGTGGATTGCAAAACTATTACCAATTGTAGAAATGTGAGAATTTGAGGAATATATAACTTGATGGCTTGTTTCTGTGAAGCTTCACTTGAATGTATCATATACGATACTTCAAATGAGGAGAAATATGGGAGGATTTATGATACATGCACCATTTCCCGTAGTTCTTTCCATGGGGTGGTGGTGGATGCATTCCCCTACTTCATGAATAATGTTTAATATAATCCCCCCAAACTAATATTTCAGTAACTAAACCTTCAGTTATTAGAAATATTTCTTCTTTCTTTGTTTCAGTGGTGTGTTCTATTGTTGATAATTAACCCTCCCTCCCACAGATTTCACAAGGGAATTTTACATTCTATATTATATCCTGTTCAACAAGGCCTAACATTTTTTTCATTCACCCATTTGGTATAGAAAAAATGAAAGCTAGTATCGTGTTCCCTAGTTTGTTTTTCTATTTTGAGCAATATTTTCTTCTTAGTAGCTTAATGATTTCAAGTTAACTTTCAAATTTTACTCATTTCACCAATATGGTGATAATTTATAGGTAATAAGTACAAAAGTACTTATTCCTATACAATAAGCACCCGGCTTTTAAATTTCCTCATGCATGTTGCCCCTAAATCTTCCACAAGTTGTTAATTACTTCTCCAGTATTTTAATAAAACTTATGAAAATTTCTCTTCAATTAAAAACCCTTTTTAAACACTTCTTCTTAGAACCAGTAAAAAATAACCAAATTATTGGAGATTATCTTTAGGTTGTTAAATTTATGGCATAATGCTAGATTACTCATTTTCTCTAGATGCATTGGATTTTCTGGCTTTGTGAGATTTTTTTTGGTAACTGACATTCTTCAGTTTTTGACTGTTTTGATGAGGCATAATAAAAACACAATGACTAATACGTCACCACAATTTGCATTTATCTCTTCTCAATTCTTCAACTTGGTGGAAGAAGGGCAGCTCAATCTATAAGTCGGATACACTTTTCACTATAACTATTATATATGGTGAATTAAAGCCGTTTATTTCCATGTATGTAGAAATTTTATTATTCCAAGACCCACCAATATATCTTTAGTTAGCAGCTTTAATATGGCAAAAATATTTTGATCTCCATTGCTACTAATGATGATACAAGAAATTCCTTCTGTTTCCATGGCTACTTTCCATGATACCACATATTCTTCCCGTTTCCATAGCTACTAATTGCTATACAACAATATCCTTGAAGTTTCATAGCCACTAAACATTATACAATAAATTCCATTTATTTTCTTAACTACTTATCACATGTAACAAATCTGTTCAGTTTCTATGGGTTACATGTAGCTTTGTAGGATTAACCAATGTAATTCTTACATGACTGTGTTTGAGATTTCTTTCACAAAGTAATTCCTCCTCAATGTAATTTTTGTTAAATCTGTTGTAAGTGCCTTGAACTTATGACAACCTGTAAGTTAAATATTTATCCAAATAATTTTGTTGCATTTTGAGGAGACAAATGTTATATATATGTGAAGTATCAGATTACCTTGTTTTTAAGCATCTCAGTTTTTATGTGAAAATAGTATTTTGTATGAAAAAACATTAATAAATGTTAATTCGGTCAAAATTGGGTAGAGAGTGGGAACTGTTAGCTATGGACATATGTTTTCCAGTTTACCACAGAAATGTTAATCTACACCAGGTAAATATGTCCAAACTTCCATAGTTCAGTCGATAAACATACATTTTTAAATTTAAAAGTGTGGTATCTGACTTACAAATGGCAACGTTTTACAAAAATGTAATCAAGAAAGTATAATTTTGTCAAAAATCATGTGGGAAGTAGGGTGTCTGTTTGTTTTTAATGACATGAACTTTTCTACTTGTTATTGCAATTCAAGAATTATTGTAAAATAGAGGGATAATTATTTGGAAGAGTGATATATCAGTGAGATATCCTGTTTGTTTTTTAATCAAATAACAGTACCAGACTATTATAAAATTATTACACGTGTAGTTTTTACTTTTGCTTTAATAGTGACATGTCGTAATACTGAAATTATCACTGTTAATGTGTTGAACAAGGTTCTTGTACCGTTGTTGACAAGTTTTAGCACTACTGTGTTACTCCGTTTTTTCATTCTTGATAACAACAGGCGTATTTGTGTGGTAAAAGATTCTTTTAAGCCTAATTCATTGTCTTAGTAAAACGAAGTTTACTCGTTGTTATTCATTGTCAGTATATCACAAAGTTTTTGATGGAAATGTTCGTGTATATCATAAAATCCGTAAATTACAATAAGAATTTGTCGTCTTAACATCATAAAAGGATAACGATAAGAAAAATAGATTTTGAAAGCAAATTTGAAAACACCATAAGTTTCAGATACAGCGGTTTTATAAGTTTTTGGAAATGTATGAGTTTATTGGAACATTAAAACGAAGCAAATGGAGTGAGACTCGATCATTGATTAGATGTACAGAAACTGCATGGTTGTGTGACTTGCTATATTTTTTGAATTAAAGTTAGCTACATTTAATAACTCTTGTGTATGTTGTATGTTTTCTTAAAGAAACGTTTTATAAACTTTCTCTTTTTTTTATTTATTTCTAAACCCCAGTCACACTTGTATATCCACAGTGGCTCAACGTTAAGCCTGAAGGCTTATAGCAAAAACTGGGTTAGCTCTTATGCATAATAATAATAAGATATTAAAGTTTCACAATAACTACACCAAATAAATAATTTTTTCAGGTTAGAATTCCGATTTAAGTTAAAGTATGTTTCAGTACCTGTAAGTATTTTGCTTGATTTGCAATATGAAAACGTATATATATATATATATATATATATATATATCAGTGGCGCTAGTAGCAAATAAGTAACCATACACAAGGAGAACTTGGATAGTACTTCCCAGCAGGGGAAGGGGTGGACGCTCCGCGATTTCAGAGAAAACTTTCCCAACCTCTTGTGATTTTTAATAATGGTTGGAGACGGCCTAAATGGGTAATGAAAAAAACAAATTTAATACAAGTTTAACATAGCAGCAAATGTACAACGTTTTGTCATCATCAGGTGTTTTTGTTATCTCCTTAATTTCGACTTGGAAATATTTCCTGGAAGGGGGGGGGATCATACACGCATGCGTATTGTGTATAAATAAGAGTAGTTTCTTTGTAGTATGAAAGAAATACAAAAACATAAAACTATGTATTTTTGCAGTGGTAGTGGTAATATTCAAAGCAACAATATATTTAACTACGATCGTAAAATAGGATGGACATGATGGAACACTATGCTTTAAAACTACAATTAGGATGAAATGTTTCTGTAATTATTATTATTATTACAGAACTTATAATGGTTGGAGACGGCTTGAATGGGTAATGAAGAAAAACTTTAATATAAGTTTAACATAACAGCAAATGTACAACGTTTCGACAAGTTTTGGCATCATCTCCAACCATTACTAGTCTCAAAGTGGGTTCCTCGTCATCGAATTCGAAATTACAGAACTTATACCTGTGGCTGGTGACAGTAATTTAACTCATAAATAAAACAAGTAAGGGATAAAATGTAGGGTGGACATAAAGTAGATATGAGTGTTTGAAGCAATCTTTAAAGCAAATCCTGTAGAATACAAGTGAAATAGTTTTGGAACACAAGAGTATATTTCCTTGACCTTTGTATAATGCCGGAGGACAGAAATGATTAGAGAAGGGCTACCCGAGTGGCTGACTCCAAAACTAGATGGGACTAAGATCGAACGAAGAAGTATATTCCTTTGGTTTCTTAAACTGACGCTAGATGGCGCAGTTATAAATATTCTTTGTTGCCAGCATGATTTTTCGATTACTGCATCCATCCCAACAATAGTACTGAATATTCCCTCGGAATCCTTAGGGCGTTTTTTAAAATGATATTCTTCAATTGAGAAATATTTGTTGGCAATAAAAACCGCATCTTCAATAAGCATTATATCCAGTAGTTAGGAGGGATAAGATCAGGCATGATGATAAAACACATCTGACAACCCAGTTCTCAGAAGAAACTGCATGTGGAAAATGTGTTTATTGCATGATGGATATGAAGCAGAAACCAATTATACATCCTAGATACATTTACGACATTTAAATTGTGTTATAACGAGTGTTCATGATAACTTTGTCCATTTACTGTTCATGAATCCAATTTCTGAGGAGTCCATTCCTCAAAAAAAAAAAAAGTAGCTTGAGGATAACACGATAACCTTTAGGGAATTCAGATGTTGTTTTGGCCTATGGATTTGCACTCGCCCTTACAATACAACAATGGGTACGAACATAATCACGAGGAGTGAAATACTTATCATCTGTCCACAAAAGCCAACAGACGCGGCATGTGCAATCAATTTTAATGTAAACGTTTTACAGCGAGCACCACTTCAGAGGAGGACAACCATGCTGGACCCGAAAAACGTTGTTTAGTTAAACAACTACTCATCAGACAGAATTTTTTCTATTCTGAAACGTTATTCATTGGATCGTGTTAAAGATAAATTTTTCAGTAGAAAGTTACATATCCGGTAATGGAACGTTACTCTCTAGTCCAGTGATCCCCAGCTTTTTCATTTCGCAACTACACTAATGTATAAATGACACTAAAAGGGCACGAGCTCGTTGACAAATAGGGCACTTTTCAAGCATCTTATGACAAGTGTTTTTTTGAGGGAGTTGTGTGGGAATGTTAGAGAAGATTATGGGAGTTGTGGGTTGTTTCTGGTATGAATAGGGTAAAAACAATAGAAGCAAATAGATTCTCTTTCATTTCTTAAATTGGTATTTTAAACATCTCAAACTAAACAGTGAATTATTGCGTATTAATATCTAATGGCATATTAAAAGTATTTTTTTGCTATTATAAAGACTTGCAAGTCCCTGTGTGCCATTTATTTTATCGCCGAAATCCCCCTCCCCCCTCAATATCTCGCAGCAAGCAAAGTGTGGAAGCAGATGTATCGTTTCATAGTTATTGAACATTCTTATGACGGAGAAAAAAAATGGCACTTTTTGGGTGTAAGAACAAGAAGGGATAGGCTTGAGCCCATCCACCCGCTGTGCACGTCACTATCTCAGTTAAGGCTTTGTAACAGAGCGTACTCCTAACATAATTATATTGTTTAAAAAACTACTTAATACTGATATATATTAATGAAAAGAAGTAATTCAAGAGTTAGGCAGAAATACTGAACAATGTGTACTGGCTTAATAACCCAATGTGTACTGGCTTAATAACCGAAACTGCCCTTAATTTTGAGGCGTGTAGTTTCGTTTCTTTTTCAATGTTTTTCGAATATTTTCACGTACCGCTAGGGGGTACGCATATCACAGTTTGACATCCACAGTTATAATCGAATTTTATAGCAAAACATTACAGTTCAAATCTCGATGTGACATCTCAGTCACCTGGTTAAAGAGATCTTATAATTTTTTAAACTCTTAACTATATTTCTACTGCGTGTTTAAGTTTACTAATCGGATGACGAAAACTGGGCTAAATAACAGAATAATTTATGGTTATAGATGTACGTTCCTGTATCAGAAACTATTGGTTTTATTGGACACCATTTTTTATAAACACCTGTTGTAATTCAAATAATCTGTTTATGTTCACTTGTTTTAGAAATTTCCCTCGTTTTGAATCGAATAAATATCCTTGCAATTAATTTTTCATCGCAAACTTGTTATCATCTCCCAAAACATTATATATTTTTTACTCTAATTTTTTAGCAACCTTACTAATAATGATAGATAATTTTTTATCAGATCAAAAACATAAATAAATATGTATTTTAAACAATTAATTACAGAAACGTGTTTGCCTTTTTTTCCATAATATTCCGACTTTAGTGTTGTTATGTTTGAAAACCATAAAAGGGAATCGTAAATATATTTTATTCACTGTGTTTTTCTAATATAATTAATTTTGGAATTGTACTAAAATTTTAGAACAAATGACATGAGTGATTCAATTCTATAAGAACACTTTCGCCCCTCAATGGCACAGCGCTATGTCTGCGGACTTGTTTGTTTGTTTTTGAATTTCGCGCAAAGCTACACGAGGGCTATCTGCGCTAGCCGTCCCTAATTTAGAAGTGTAAGACTAGAGGGAAGGCAACTAGTCATCATCACCCACCCACAGTCTTGGGGTACTCTTTTACCAACGAATAGTGGGATTGATCGTCTCATTATAACGCCCCCACGGCTGAAATGGCGAGCATGTTTGGTGGGAATGAAGTTAATGATATTTGCCAAGGGAATTGTCTTACATCAACATAACAGTATATTTTATATTATTTAATGTTTGACATCCAATATTATGCTCTTCTGTTTGTACTCTCCTTTATTCAATTCCTCGACCTATTTCGTAACTTCAAAAGTCACTCTTTAGGATATAAGTTTACAGAGAATCTATAACAAAACATCCAAATACCGTTTTTCAACTAAATATATATAAATTAAATTAAATACACATGTTCTATCAAATGTACAAACATACAATACGCTCCTTGTATAATTAAGTATATCAGAAAATGTTCAAAAATAACTAAATAAAACTAGTTAAAGTTTATCCAATGTACTCTCATTTTTTAATCATAATCTTATTCTACTTTTACTTGTTATTATACAAATGCAAGTTACTCCAAAATATTTCATGATATCTCTTATTTACATTATTATTATTAGAGCGCTCGACTCACAATCTGTGGATCGCGGGTTCGAATCCTTGTCATACCAAATATGCTCTCCCTTTGGAATCGAACCCGGGCCACCCGCGTAGCAGGCGAGCATTCTACCACTAACCACCGATACTCTTGTAATAAGACAGTGGTCGTGTAAAGATAGTTGGATTTACGAAACTGTAGGAACTGTTACTAAGAAATACACAAAGGATTGTTTGTTTGTTATGGATTTCGCGCAAAGCTACACGAGGGCTATCTACACTAGCTGTCCCTAATTTAGCAGTGTAAGACTAAAGGGAAGGCAGCTAGTCATCACCACCCACCGTCAATTCTTGGGCTACTCTTTTACCAACGAATAGTGGGATTGATAATCACATTATGACGCCCCCACGGACTTGGCCGAGGCATATTTTGCTCTCCAGTGGCACAGCAGTATGTCTACGGAATTACAACGCTGGAAATCGTGTTTCGATACACATGGTGGGCAGAACACAGATAGCTCATTGTGTTTTGAACGTTCGTAAGTGTCAACGATGGTTCAGTAAGTTTCGTTCAGGTGACTTTAGCCTTAAAAACTGTGATGGCAGGGGCCGACATGTTGGAATTGATATTGATGCTCTGAAGACGCTTGTTGAGTATCAACACACTCGTAAAATGGCCCTGAAATTCCACGTCTCTCATGAAACAATACGCAAATATCTAAGAAATATGGGAAACTCCACAAAGAAGGTTTTTGGGTGCCTCACGAACTCTCATATGATAATCATTTCCAACATGTGAACGTTGCCTCGTCTCTTCTGGCGCGTAATGCGCGTGAACAATTTTTGGACATAATTCTCACCGGTGATGAAAAATGGATTCTATATGCGAATATTAAACACCGAAAACAATGGATCAGTCCTAGACAAAAACCACTTCCGACTTTAAATCCTGGACTCCATCCGCAGAAAGTGATGCTTTGCATTTCGTGGGAGATCAAAGGAGTAATTGATATCGAACTCTTCAATCCACAGCGAAATGTCAATGCAGAGATCTATAGTCAGCAACTGAAACGTTTAAATCAAGCTCTTCATCAGAAACGCCCTTCACTCGTCAATCGGAAAGTTGTTCTGCTTTTCCACGACAATGCACGTCCACATGTGGCACGTTTGACGTAACACAAGATTATGGAGCCCAGTTCTCCCCCACCCAACATATTCTCCAGATGTGGCCCCATCAGATTACCATCTTTTTCGTTCGCTGCAACACCATCTTAATGGGAAAACGTATGCAAATGTGGAAGGTGTTAAAGAGGACATCGACATGTTTTTTGCTTCAAAGCCAAGTGATTTATTTAATCAGGGCATTAACAACCTGACTGTAAGATGACGATAAGAATGGAGACTTTCATTTAATAAATGTTTTGATATATAAGTTGTTCAGGTTTTTTCATCTAAGAAAAAGAAACATTAATTTCTTGACGACCTAATACAAACAAACTTTAATCACAATCCGACAAGGAAATGAAAAAATGGCGTTGTATAATTTTTTTTTTGCCTCCAGTAAGTCTGCGGACTTACAACACCAGAACCCGGGTTTCGATACCCATGGTGGGCAGAACACAAATAGCCTATTGTGTAACTTTGTGTTTAACTTCAAACAAACAAACAAACCCTCTTACCTCTATCCATTTAAAGTGGCTCCAAAATATCACTAACACCGAGATCCTCAAGCTGATAAATTAATGTATGATCCTAACTATCGGTAAGAACAGTACCATTGTAACATTGTTTTTCATTGGTGGGCTCTTTTTAATTATCTGGTAAAAATAATTCAATGTCAGGCATAAACACTTTGGTAACTTGTACGTTTACAAATAATGCTAACTACATTACACTAATGTAAATAATAAATTTACTTGTACTTCACGAAATAATATGTATATATAAAACAATGCGCTTTTCTGGTACTAGATTATTTTGTCAGTCCAATTGAGTTATTCTTATTATATTTTGATTAAAAAACATATTTATCCAAGACATAACTATGCTAGTAGATGTCGCTGCGAAAAAACATAGAAAAGTAAACTTTGTTCAGAAAATTGTTCTAACATTAACAGTGAGTTTGGTGTAATTTTATGTGAAGCAACACCTTACTCGTTTTACTAATATTGGATATTTAGAGTAGGACGTAAGAAGAATCAGGTTTGGGCCCTGGTGAGTGAAAGACAAGAATTTCGCCATGAATATATAATATATATATATACACACATATAATAACAGTTCTTCTAGTTCTAGAGTCTGAATTTTGGGCTACAACTACAAATAATTGTATGCTGCACATCCAGCATACCAGACACTATGTCTACACCACAACCAACAAGGATTTGAATTTACAACCGAGACATGATCATGGTGCAATAACTGTTGTAACGTCACCTATTCATTGACTAAATAACCAATTGGATAGATCTTTGACACTGCCCAGTTAAGACGATCACAAGCACGACTGGTTTCCGTCATTTATTAAAAACTTAGATTACAACTAGAAGTAACCTAATTCGTTTTCATCAGAAACGTTCATGAATACCATATACAAAACGTCATAACCTCCATAGTCCATAAGCCTATACAATGATTAATAGTAGTTATAGATATTCACTACTCACTCTGTAGTAAAATACTGCAGGTTCTACCTGCCCTTCTGTATCAAACTGTATAGCCCTGGAAGCTAATTCAACAGCAGCCTGTTCTAGGTGTCCTGTGTCATCTGTCATTATTAACGTCAAGCTTTGTAGTAAAAAAGTTGATAATGTCAACACATATTAGCAAATAATTATGTTACATCCTCATGTTGGAAAACACCATCAAAAACTGTACAAGGTTTTCCAAAAATTTCTGAAAGAAAGGAAAAATCAACATACATAAAAAACAAGTAAATTGTTCCTTTTTTATTTTTTACTGACTCTCAAAGATTAAACTAGGAAGTCGTACTCTGTTCATCATCCTACACCTCTCTGTATTCATAAGAACATTTTAAACCCAGCTTTATAATGTAAAGTGTACAATTATAAGGATTGCAAATAAGTCTTTGTGTTATACTACATTGTAAGAAAACTGGAAATGGAAATGGTGATTTTCTTTCCCCATGAACACAAGTGTGGAACATTAATTTATAATTCCATGGTTTTCTTACTTCAGTCTTTATACACACTGTCACTGCCATTGCCAAACAATGTAAATGTAAGACATTGGGCGTGAACATTGTGTAGCCTAAAAGTAAAACTCAGGTGCTATGTTTACAAACACATATATTTTTACTTTTTTTATATTTTTTATGTAAAATTTCGTGTGAACGATTTTTTTTCAGGATATATCCTCTGAATGGATGGATGGACAGGGGTGTTTATTGACTGAAGTGCCATTTGGCATTCAAGTGTCAAGGGTGTATTTTTAAGGGTACCTGACTTTTTCACACCAAAAGTTATTAATTTAGAGATAAAACTATGTTTCATGGAAAGAAAACTCCTGTTGTTGTGATATTAATAGATGCGCATCTTATATAAGTAGCACACACCAAAGATTGTTCGTGTAGACAGATTACTAAATGACCTCAAAGAACAGTTTAAAATATACTATTAGGGAAAGGGGGAGATAATAAATGTTTGTCATTTTATTAGAATGATTGTAAACACAGTTTTAGCTATTGAGTGTAAAAAATAAATACAGAAAACAAACAAGAAACCATCTTTCCAGAAGTAGGGGGGTGACATTTGTCTCTGAAGGTTGTGCCAGTAGGTTGGTTGATACATTTTCCTGTCCCTTATCTGAGCTTATTGGTTTGGTGCCGAGAGAAGAGACTAAGTATGGTAAATAGGTGTATATGTGAAAAAAATTCAACTATTTTTTACTTTCTGGACCTTAGATTGATTTTGAACTTTTAAAGCTTTTGATACAAGTTAAAGAAAAATCAAACTATTGTTTAGAATGTTTAATCTTTTGTAAAATTGTTATATTCAAAAACAGAAAAGTTTAGATGGTTAAAATTTTTCCTGTTTCCCAGTAGAGAACCAATATGCACCGTAATGTTAAAATAGCTCAGTCAGAAATCGAGATGATATGGTTCCTAATTAAATATAAATAACTAGAAAAAAAACCTTCAGAAAAAATCATTACATGAACAAGTAACATGCAAGAAAATTCAGTCATCACTGTTTTTTTATTTATAAATTGACTTATATTGGAAAACAATTTGATTAGTTTGGAACTTGTTCGAATTGTAGTCGTATTAGTTATTTTGAGAGTTTGGGGACAAGAACTAAAAGCTGGCAAGATGAAGTTAAAGATGTGTTTGTGGACTGAAGTGAACTGTTTTTTTTTAACATCATAAATTGAAAGTCATAATTACAGAGCTGTTATCTTTTGTCATAAAAATCCAGAACTTTTAGTCACAACATATAATTGTCACTTGTGTTCTCTGTTCTTTTGAAAAGCTCATTGGAATTAATTTTATTTTAAGTATATTTTAAATATTATTTTGAGATATTTAAGAAATTTTTTTTCTGTTTTATATGATATATAAATATGTACATATATGAGTCTTGGATAGAGCTTCTAAACTGGGTTAACGGTTCACCCAGGGGTGAATGAGATCGGAATCAGGGTGAATGAGTATTATCAATTATACAACAAATTCAAGAACAAAAAAGTCATTAGTTATTATTATTTATTCTAATTGTAGTTTGATGTATATTTAAGTCATAATAAAGATTTCTAATTTAGTACTTTTCTGTCGTTTTTTTCAAACTGGGGGGGAGTGAGTTGTGAAAACTTCTAGGGGGAATGATATTGGAACAGGTTGAGATGCACTGGTCTAGGAGGATATATATATATTTTATATCTTAAATATGTATATGTATGTATGTATATGTGTGTGTGTATGTATTTATCTAGGAGGCCGCTGAAATCCTGCACTCAGCTTTTCTGAATGGCTCTCAACTGATGAACATTAAGGAGAAAGCTCAGGAATACTTGGGTCGAGCCGAAGCCCTTATAAAGCAAAGTGGGAAAGCTATTTTATTTACTTTAAAATATTGATGTTAAAGAAACACACTGCTACCTCATCATTATTTTGACTTTGAATAAATTCTGAAATTAAGTAATATTTCACAATATAAGTGTCAAACAGCCATATTATGATGTTAATAAATTTATTGTTTACTTCGTTGTATCTCTATGTAAGTCTTCAATCTGAAATGAATACATAAATGCAATACATGAACATTTTGTTAAATATATTGAAGCTATGAGATAAATATTTGTTTAATCTAAAGTAGTTTGTTGCCACAGACTTTTAGAATGTATTCAAACACTTCAGTGTATTTAATTTGAAAAGAGAAGTTAGGCAAGCATATTGTGGTAAAAAGACTTATGTTGGGTTCTAATGAGTCGTTTATGTGAATGTTGACTGCCTAACCTCTGTGTATTAAGATTTTATTAGTATAAAAGTTTTCAGAGGTTAATGCCACTTGGAAGAACAATTTAATTAGTTATTTATTGCTTCAATCATATAATACACAACTTTGATGCGAAATGATTTTACAAGAAAAATTTAATGGTGTTTTGTTGTAAACAAATATTATTGGAATCAGTGGGCCATTATTCCTAATTTTGTTGTGAGTAATAGGTTATATCAATTATTTTCTTATGTTATTTGTATATCCAGAGGATGCTGTCCAACCGGCACAAGAACAGAAAAATGTCCATCAGCAAGAGTTGGAACGTGCCCAGTTCCTGCTACATCAAGCCTTCGATGAAGACAGTGATGGCAACAAGGAAGAAGCTGTAGAACTCTACTCACAAGCAGTGGAGCTGTGCTTAAAAGCTGTATGTATCTCAGAAAACTTTAGCAAATTTTATTAACAAAAATACTTACACTTTATGATTGGTGGGTAATGTTAGCCTAAAGGGAAAAGAGAAAGATATTTCCTATCTTCACTATATATATATTTTTTAACCCATTGACTGCTGACTTGCTGTATAGGATATGGTCCACCTCTGGCAGTTGAGTGCAATTGTGCTGTATAAAGTGCACGGCTCATGTTTAAAGCAGCTACATTCGAAGGGTTAAATTCTGTAACATTGCATGATTCCATTAGTTTACTTAGTTAGTCAGTTCTTTTCTTATTTTTGACCTCTCTTTGAGTAAGTGTCCTTGACAGGAATCAAATGGAGAGTTAAAGAGCATTAACAAGTTAAGTTAACTGTTAATGTTCGTAATGGTTTTGAAAGTTGTATACATGTAAATATTGAAATGCTGACAGTAACTGTTGCTTTCTTTCTGTCTGAGTGCAGCCTAATGGTTAGCATACCAAACTGTTAATCTGAAGGTCTGACATATAATCTTGCTCTGCTCTTTGGGGCCGTTTATGCATTATAAGAGTGACATCAAGTCCCACTGTTTAACACTGGTAAAGGTGTTCTCAGATAAAACTAGTACAGACACTCTGACAACACTAGTAGAAGTGTTCTCAGATAACACTAGTACAGACACTCTGACAACACTAGTAGAAGTGTTCTCAGATAACACTAGTACAGACGTTCTCTGACAACACTAGTACAGACGTTCTCTGACAACTAGTAGAAGTGTTCTCAGATAACCCTAGTAAAAATGTTCTCAAACAACACTAGTAAAAGTGTTCTCCGACAACACTAGTAAAAGTGTTCTCAGACAGCACTAGTAAAAGTGTTCTCCAACAACACTAGTAAAAGTGTTCTCCGACAGCACTAGTAAAAGTGTTCTCGACAGCACTAGTAAAAGTGTTCTCCAACAACACTAGTAAAAGTGTTCTCAGACAGCACTAGTAAAAGTGTTCT